GAAGTTTATAGTGGGAGTTGCAAATTCAGGATGCTTTTTTTTGCAAAGTATGTTTTATTTCCCAGATTCTGCCTTTGTAAATCTGTTACTCCTGTTGCATTTGGTCAGGTGTGAGTACATCGTTTATGAAGTTGTTGAAACCGCCAATACATATTTGCTGATTTTATGGTTGGTCAGACACTACCTTATTTAAATCTAACTTTTAGTGTGAGTTTTGAGATATTTTGCACAGTCGAGTATCCACGTGCCACAGTTCGAGATTAGAAAGAATCTTGAAAAGCTGGTATTGGGGGGAAAAAAGTCTGGCTTAAATGTTACTAAAGACTATTGCCCCTTTCACATATGCTCTGCACTCCTGAACTTGTTGGGCTGTATGTGAGAAAGAAAATGTGGAAATGAGTCAAACTTGACATGAAAGTGACTTCACTTTGCCACTTTTTGCCATTTCCCTTCTACAAAATTCATGCAATGTCAGATTGAGCCAATGCATAAATAGACCAGGTTATTGGCCAGCACATTCACTGCTTAAGAGGAGCCTGGTTGACGACACTGATAACGCTGCTGCTACCCTTTCTGCGTTTGTATTCGTCTTCATTGCTTTTGTTTATTCAGTGAACAGGTCCAAAAAGATGGAGCATTGCTGCAGAGGATATCGTCTCTCCACAGTTGACACTAGTTGAGAATGCATTAGTGGATATCACTCTCCCATAGTGAGTGAAAGGTCAACTCTGGACTAGTATGTCCAGACCTCATTCTATGGACATTTTCCAGAGTTCTCATGAGAAAACAGCTTATGATAAGTCCAGGACCTAAGCTGAACATTATTGCTATAAACAGGCAAGAAATGGAAACCTGAGCAGGTGTTAAACGGACTGCCGAATGGATCTTTTCTCGTCTCCTGAATGGAGGACCGGTGTAGATAAACTCATTAGTTGGGAGTGGAGCAGCAGACGTTGAAGATGGCGGATAGCTTTGGGTCAAACTGGTCCTTTGAGCTGTAACTAGATCAGGTGTGACAGTGGTGACTCTGGATAGTCGTCCAGCATGCTGATCAGTGTCATTCTTGGTGGCCCAGTAAAACACAACCGGCAGCTGGCCTTCCTGTCACCTGATGTATGACAATCCAGGACAATTAAATCCAACACCCCTCCAGCACTTTAGGGAGGTTTTAAGTGCTGCTGAGTGGCAGAGCGGACCTCTGGGAGGTCCTGTTTTGGTACTTACTGTGCAGGACAGATGGAGGCAGCATGAATGAAGAACATTAATTTCCAACTGTGTGAATGCTTCAGAGGATAACATGTCTTTACCTCTTTTTCTTTTGCTGATCACGATCTTGTTGCCAATTGGCCATCTGTTATGTGTCCTGTCCAGTCCAACGTTATGGAAGGAGTTGGGCAGAAGACTGAAAAACATGGCCTTACCAAATTCAAAATTTGGCTGTTCAAAACAAAACCCCTCATTGATTTATCGTTTTTTATTTTATTGTTGGCAACACCATATTCATCTATCAGCGTATTTGAGTTTTACCTAGCACACATTTAAGTTACAGTTAGTCAGCTTGACATTCATTAGGTTGGTTATTTGTATAGTTAAACCAAATGAGCAATATCCTGTCTTGCTCATGCTAAGTACTAAACGCTCAGATGAACATCTGAGAGAAGCTGACTTTGAATTTGAACGTGCTTATCTAAACTTTTTTTAGTTTGGAGGAGATCAATGTGACTCAGAGGAAAAAAACCTGAAGAAAACTAAATGTACCCTGGCCTAAAAACCAAGACATTAACCTGTAAACATGCAAACAGCATCTTGGCTGTCTATTAAAGTACAGTGGTTAACACTACATTTTAACATGTAACCACTACTAATTGCTATTTGTGCTGCTTGAAATCATCAGTTTGTGTTTTGGTTTGGAGAGGTGGAGATTTGAACCATTTTTAGATAGACACTCCTGACTGTATCTAGATATTTGAAATTCCAAGCATACTTCCAGTTTGTTGACAGACCATAAGAAAAATCAGGTCTTAAGGTGTTGTCACTGTCAGTCATTCCCCTCCCCCTCGTCAGATTTCTCTCGCTGACACCCAGCTGAGAGTCAGACGACTCCACCCGTGTTTCACCCTCCTGCTGGACCGACAGGCTTGTTTTTGAAAAGTAAAGAAGAATAACAGTCTTCTACCCTACCCCATTTCTATCCTTTAACCTATCAATCCATCATCCTGAGATATTTTCTCTTTAAATACTGATTCCACCTCAGGTTTCACACTTAGAACAAGACTATGCAGACGCAGACAGTGTCTCCTGACGTCCATCCATACAGCTCTTTGTGGTGCAGTAGAGAAAGTTCCCACTAGATGGTGGCAGAACCATATTAAGTTAAGTTGTCTCAGTAGGGTTACAAAGAGGATTGCAATTAGGCATATCCCATCTCGTCCACTGTCCCTCAGCTTCCCTCCATGACCATCTGATCTCGTGATCTGAAGACAGACGCAGTGAGAGCATTCTGACAGTGAGGAATGTTTCTTCAAGTCTGTCTATTACGATCCTTTTGGGTCACTTTTAAAACGAGTCCCAGGTGTTCCCAGCTCTGCGACATGCATCCTGGCCCTCAGAAGGCCCCTCAAATGGAAAGATGGATCCTTCCTCAGATTGGGGAATATCTTGTCATTCCCCTTTGGATTCAACAAAAGGCAAAACGACTGATATTGCTGCTCAGCATACCTTCTTCATGTCCCTTGTCTTTTCTTAAGTCTGTCATTCTAATCACACAGTCTTATGACAAAACCGTGCTCTGCGAAACACTGAACTGATTTAGCATGGGTCAGTTCACTTGGCATGAGCTCAGTGGCTGTAAGGTTTTGGTCCCCTGTTCAAACCGGCCTGCTGGAGAGATTTTGTGGTCAGTGCTCGCGGCGCCACTGCCCTTCTCTGCTGCTCCTCTTAACCCATTTTATTGAAATATGCAAAGGGTTGAACAGCGCTGAACTCAGATTTCAGCAGGTTTCTCATTTGTCTTCAATGCACATGCAAAAGTCATGCAAACGATGGAAGAATCTGGCGCACAAATTGGCGCTGGCGTGACATGCTGGCAGGATTTAAGAATTTGTCTCCCAGATCTCCTCTCGTTGGAAAATCGATCCTTTCTTTAGTGCTGTTTGATGAATGCACCACATTTTGTACATCTCAATCCAAAAAATCTCTTTCTGATATGCTCTCAACAGTTTGCTTACCTGCTCGCTCAGGCGTCCTCTGGACCCTATTGTCTCAGATGCTTTTTCCACAAGGCTCCACCTGGGGGTCTGCAAGGCCCCGAGGTGAGTTCACATCACAATTTATGTCAGACAGGCGTGGTAGCCTTTTTGCTCCGTGGGCTGCTGTCTTGGCAGGTCTGAGTCTCAACCTCCGTATGTGTGTTTGTACACACATGAAGTGCAATAAGCCAGGAAATGATTACTTCTTTGCAGCTGTCATTGTGGGGGCTGAGTGAGTAATGCATTGCATTACAAATCACAAATCGCAAATCACTTAAAATGAATTTCCAGACCAGTTTGGCTGGTTAGGATGGACATGAGTCACAGTATTTCAAGTATGTGCATCCTACACCACCCAGCCATCGACGGGGGTCCCAATGAACTGGAAGCATGAAGGTGTAACCGCGTGTCCAGCCACGGCTTGTTTCACACTGCTTATCAACATGGGAGAGACAAAATGTCACACAGTGAGTGAACCACTAACAGCACCCTGAGGCTCTCCAGTTTAGGTAACAGTGTGAGACTGCGTCACAGATCTGACATATCATGGATCATTAAGCTGTGGACCGAAGGCTAAACAGTAATTGTTTCCCTTTCTCTCTTTCTCAGATAAAGCATTTGTGGTGGCTTCAGTGCTACGCTGGACTCAAACACCTCTTCTAGTGAACTTTTTAAAAGCGGTTGATAAATGCAGCATGCATGGAGAGGAGTCTGTGACGTGGTTAGTGGCTGGTGCAGAAGGCCTTAACTGGGATCTCTCAGTCGTATACAGGTTATAGCTCACTCGCCAATGTCATTGGCAGAACATACAATGGTTGTTGACAAGAGCGGTGCATATTGTATTCATGTAGTACGTTCTGAAATCATAGTATGTGATTATTATCTAATCTTTTTTTTTCTGCTCAACCTAAAAACATTCTTACTTAGTGAATAGATGTTCAAAATTGATTTTTAGATACTAAAGCCGCGTCTTAATGCTAAATCTGCTTATTTTAATTTGGAAATAAGTCTTCAATATTGTTTAAAATAAGGTCCGATCTATTAATAGTTCATCCAAAATGTCCTCATATCTGTGAAGTCTCAGGTCATAAGGTGGTCTTAAGGCTGCCACTCTGACTGGCTTAAATCTAGCTCTTTGGTCCAAATAAGTGTTTCTGCTTTGTGTGTTGTGGTGCAGCAGGAGTTTATTGTACACTACTGTGAGCGCGGGGGCAGATTTCAATGAGCCACAGACTTTGGAGTTGTATCGGACAGCCGTCCTGATCCTGCTCTATCTGGCTTTCCAGATGAGCGCCGTTATTTACGAAGCGATGCTTTTCCACGCCTGTGATTTCTCACAGGTCTGTTTCATTTGCTCTGCTCACTTACCCTGCGCCGATAAAGTTTCCCTCGTTTCCGCTGGACGATGAATAGAAGTGTGGGATAGCTGTGTGTGTCTCTGCGTGTGTGTGTGTGTGTGTGTACTGCAGGTGATGTTATGTTGGCTCATGCACAAAGCAGGATGTTCAGCAGCTTAGGGAAAAAGTGTTGGGTTGTAAACACCCAGAGTCACACACAGTCAGTGACTCATTCTCTGTCAATCGTTGGCTCACCTACACACAATCGCATGCATGTGTGAGTATGGCTGATATCCATTTCCATGACGACAGGCCGCTAACACACACACTCACAACACAGGATCTGACTGACACACGTGCATGCGGCTGTTCTGCCATTTGACAGGTAGGCTCTAAAATCTTCTTCTCTTTGCAGGGCTCCATGGCATAAAGCCCGTCCTCACACTCAGCCAGTCCCTGCGGAGGAGCTACCCGAGGAGCTATACTCTGACGCCCCGCTGCCATTTTCCACAGCCCGAGGGGAACCAGGAAGCAGCCGGCAGGAGCCATGCCTGCCCTGGCCACTGGAGCCGGCCACGAGCCAGGTACGGACCCCTCAGCCAAAAACACAACCTGAAATACAAAACCAGTAAAATACACTCGTAAAATGTGGGTTTTCCAGCAAATATTAGAAAAAGTATTTGTGTTCTTTGATACTTATTTTACTGTCCATAATCAATCTATGTTGCTGCAAACTTTATTTTAGAGTCAGTGTCCATGATCAAGGGAATAAATAACATGGAAACTACAAACTTAAGCACCAGTATAAGAAATAGAAAAATGTATTGTGGTCTACTGTGTCATGCTTTCTGGAGCTGGCATTGGCAGAGTAAACAAACCTAGTTTTGATAAACAGAGAGTATTTCATGTTTCCTGCTACAACAAACATAAAACTTGAACTGTACCATTTAGATAGTTAAATGATTCATCTTTAAGCATCATGATAAGCTATTTGAAGTCTCTCCTTTCTTGTAGTTTGACCACAGGTTAGCACTATAAAATGTTCCAGATATTTCCCAAAATAACAATCAGACAAGTCGAGGTCAGGACATTTAGGTATGTTTTGACGTCTTCTTCGGTTTGACAGATGTAGATATCGTCTTTACCTGCATTTCTTTTGACACCATGTTCAACTCCATGTACACATCACATATAAGGAGCCACTACTACTACTATGTTGGTCAAAGAGGAAAGATGCTACCTGGGCCTCAAAACATCAGCGGTAGCATCAGAGGCAGGTAAAGCAGAAGGGCGCACAACTGGGGCGCCAGATGTCGCCAATGAGTTCTTTGGAGGTGATGTGGGCATGTCATCGAAACACCTATGAAAGAGCTCAGGCAGAAGAAGAGTATGTGTATTTGAAGTTTGCACACAACTCAAAGCAGAACACACATTTCATTTTAGAAAAAATCCTCAGTTATAAGGCAGCTTTTTTTGACTGTGATGGACCTTCCTAAACTTGAGATGATTCAAACTGGGATCAAAATAGACAATGTTTTAATTTGTACCCCGCCGAGTGAATATCATTACATTGATCGTAAGTATTCATTCAGTAATATACAGTTAGAAAAAGAAAGCAAAACAATATCAAAATATTGTGTCTTTTGTTCCCTCTACTCTTCTACTGAGGTGTGCGTGTGTGCGTGTGTGCGTGTGTGTGTGGAGTGTGAGGAGCACATCAAGCTTGTCAACGCAGAGACAGCTGCCAGAAATCACCACCTCTCCCCTCAGGAACACTATCCTCCTCTCAGACTGACTTAATGGCCGACTACGTCATCATCACAAGGACACACACACACACACACACACGCTCAAGCATACACACACACACACATGTACACACTCACTCACTCACACCAGAGGGCTTGACCCAGCTAGAGCAGGATAGCAAAAGGACAAAAGGAGGACAGACATTAAGTCCTGCTCTAATGGATAAAGAGTGTGTGCGATTCTGCGTCCAGACTTTTAACAGAGTTACCGTAGCCCCCGTCATCCTGGAAATTCGTGCAGACAAAGTAGAAAGCCAGACCGTCAATTACGATTAGAGTCATTTTGGGCAATTACCGGCGAGGGCTCACGTTTCCAAATAAAACACGTAAAGATTCCTCCGGCCCATCTCCTCAGCTTCCCAAGTGATGGTCCTGTGAAGCTGTGTGTGCAGGTGAAACATGATGGTCACTGATCTGCTGAAATCACTAAAACCTTCTGTGGTCTTCCTGGCAACCCGGCTGCCCGGCGTTGTATCAAAAGTTTGCACAGAATTCAGCGAGGGTTACCCTTGGTATCGTTATAATGCCGTTTAGTTTATGGACGAGGCTCAGTCGGGATGATGATGGAAAATCTGTCGTATTTTGCACGCTACAATAGAGAAACCATTCAGCTGCATCTGCTCTTGCTTGGATGAGTCAGTCGATTAAACTACTCTTAATCTCCTTTTTTTTCAGTGTAAAAATATAGAACCAGCTCACTGAAACTATGTGAAGGAATGATCGTCGAGTTGAAAGCGAAATTCAATATTGATGAAACTGTTTTCCTCTCCACGATTATTTTGATTCCCTGTTGTACTGCTATTTTATACTATTTTAATTAAAGCCGACCCGTGTATCATTTTTAAGACAGGGGAATGTATTCACAGATGACAAATATGTTTTCATTTACTCCTTTAACTTTGCCCTTTTTAGACGTACCTTTTGTATCCTTTCAAAATAAAAGCTTGTTTGTCAAATCGTATCATATCATGAAGTGATTATATCGATACATCCCCAGTAGAAAGACATTATTTATAACTCATTGGACTATTGCTATGATAAATAACAAAGAGTAAGATATTTACCTTCTCTTTGGTGTAGTGTCTTGATTGATTGAAGGACTTCAGGGATTCAGCCTTCTACCTCTTTTGCAGTCAACATACTCTGCATACAGCCAATGCCTGTGGAAATGTGGACAGTTACAGTCGCACTACAAATGGATACAAGAACACTTCTGGTACCATTTGATCCTGCGCCTACACATTCTGCAGATGATACTAGGATTTACCGGTGTTTTCTCAATGTGAGATTTGTTCTTACGTAAGGTCAGAATTTACTTAAACTCAGGAGCACTCGTACAAACTTTTGAGTGCTGACTAGCTCGGTTATTCCATTTAATTTAAATCTACAGTTGTATAATATTATAGGAGTTTACATGAAATGCTACACATGACACTTCAGTTCACACGGGCTACAATGATGATGTTCATTCCATCCCATGTGTCTTTTTGTGTGTGTTCCTTTGTAACCATTACTCACACTGATGAATCAAACAGTTTGTTTGCTGCTGACCTCCTGCAGGATTACCTCCACTTCACAACTGGTAACGTCTCTGCTCCATTAGGAGTCAGACGGCGCCTTTTTCAGCCCTCTGATTGGCATCGCCACAACATTATTTTTTGCTATCGGCATGTCTTTCTACAGGGAACCTGCACTCATGCCCTTTTATGGGCATTAGTGGGCGGTTACATATGCTTATTGGACACAATAGGCACCTTACTTGTCAGAGTGGTAAGCTTTCTTGGATGTCATGAAGGAGTGTATGGGTCCATGCAGAGATTTAAACTAGATGTGACAACGTGTACTTTCAGTCAGAGTTTGTCCACAACAGCAACAGAACAGAACAACCCTCTCAGTAATTCTGCAGATTTGGCATGAAGGCAGCAACACCTCAGCAGAGCAGCATAAATCCACAGAGACAAGGAATATCTACTACATATGTGTTTGCTGCCAATAATTACAGACAAATTACAATATCCTGCCAGTACCTTCAGTTCTTTAGCGGTGCTGCCATGTGCACGCTCGTCAACACCAGCCTCACCACACACACGCGCACACACACGCACACACACACACACACACACACACACACACACACACACACACACACACACACACACACACACACACACACACATTCACAGGATGAAGCACTGTGCTTGTTCTTTTCAAATGTTGAGGAAAATATTATCTTGAACATAAATAATCTTTAGTAGCAGCTCTTATATTTCATCAGCAGTTTTGGAGAGTGTGCAAGTGTGGAGGAGGTGTAGATCTTTATTAAAATGTTCATTATTGGAGTGTTTGGAGAGCAAATACGAGAGCAGACGAATGCAGGGCACATGTAAGATCATACCATCTCTCTCTCTCTCTCTCTCTCACTCGCTCTCTCTCCACCCCAGCCCAAATAAACAACAGGCTCTGTGTGAATTAGATTCTAATAAGTGAAACCAAAAGAAAGTGAGAAAATAAACTTAAAAAACAATAAAAGGCTGGAAACTGGTCTTGAAATAAGACCGAGGGGAACGTTGGAGAGGCTGACCTAGTGATTGGGTTACTGTGGACTTATTTCACTGTGTGACTTTTAGGTTTTTAATAAATGCTTTGGAAGCTGATTCATGTCAGGGTTTTAGTTGATGACGCTGGCTGCTGCAGGGATCTGGGTGTTTGAAACATTTTTGTCTGAGGGTGTCCAAGAAATACCACCATCCTTCAACATGTAGAAAAACCTGCCCCACGTTGAGGAGGCCGTTACGAGACATTTTATTGGCTCCTTTTACCTGGTACACACAAACACATTAATTCATAATCCAGCAAGAAGTCCAAGAAGAGAACGAGAAAGAACTTTTAATTCTGCAAACACCTCACAGGGTTGATAATGTGGAGCCTGTATCAACAGAGACATGCGGGCAATAAGTCAAAGCTCCGATTAACCGGAGTTCTCTGCTGGAGGGGGGGGGTTGTTTCAGAGTTATGCAGCTGCTCTCCAGCTCCTCTCTCTCTCTCTCTCTCCTCCAGACCACTGCTGTTTAGTCATTTCTCCTCCTGTTCAGCTGTTTTGTTGTGGGCTCGGTCGGGGATAGATAACTGTTACGCCTCCGCTCAGTTTGGCTCGACTCATCTCAGTTTATTTCAGCTCCCACTCGGGGATCTTCAGACAGACAAACCCAGCCCACTCCCTCTGTCTGTTCCTCACTATTTATCTCCCTGCTGAACTCCACAAGCTGCAAGGTCAAGTTTCCAGATTCTTTTTTTTTTTTGTACACTGTGGATGTGCGTGTGTTGCTGCATTTTTATTGTGGGCTAACAGAAATCTATACATACGCCTCCAGCATCACAGGATGTGAAGTGAACCTAAAAGACAAATACAGAGACTCATAAACATTGACAGGGACACAAAAACACCCATGTAGAAGATTGATAAGATGATTTCATCATATTGTCTTAATTTCTTCTAAAGTTCTGTGTTATTACCTCCACAGGCCTCAGAGATGGAACATCAGCCATTCTAACAATTAGTTTATTCAGAGCAAGACATTTAAAGGCCTTGACACACCAAGCAGACAGCAAAGAAATAGTGGTCGCCTGTGGCGTTGTCTCCTGTCGCCTCACGATGTCTTGTCTTGGACAAAAAGTTGCACTTGAACACACCGCAAAGACTACAGCCGACAGCAAACCACCACATATGATCTGTGCATGCGTGAGAGGAAATAACTCTCCATGCCAGCAGGCGGCGT